TCGACTTGAAGTGCCGATCCCTCGTGTCCCTGGCGATTTCTCTCTCACTGTGAGGAAGACATGTCGAGGGATCCTGTGGGGATATAAGCTTCCTGCTGGAGCCGCCGCATTCCCACGCGCGTCATGCAAAACGTTTAGCGGTAAACGGCTGGGCATGGATCTCCTGTTGTTGGATATTTTACTGTGACAATCCAGCATTTCAAGCCCACACCCCCTGCTGCCTGTCCCCCCCTCCCTCCTCTTCATCAGCTATTGCTTGGGTAAAAGTGAAAATCCCCGTTAGCCCCACCGGAGACTACGTGCCCTGAAACATACTTGCGAGGCTGAGCATGCATCCCAATGATTCGGCTGAAAACTCGATTGCCGCAGACACCGTTATGAGGGGCGACGCAGGGGACACTGGGGCGATACCGCCTGGGAGGACTTCAGAAATCCCGACTGAGGATCGCGAGGCTGAAATGGGCACCGCTGAAGGAGGAGCGGGAGACCCTGCTCTCCAGACGACAGAGCCCGGATCGCGAAAGGGCGCAGAACCTCGCCGTGCTGACGAGGGCCTGGGCGATAGACCTTCCTTGAGCGAGGAGGACGTGCAACCAGCAAGGCCTCCAAGGAAGAAGAGGAGCATCAAGCAGACGGCTTCTCCCTCAGGAAAGCAAGACGCTGCCGAGAACCGCCAGGATTCGGGATTAGGCAAGGAGAAGGAAGAAGAGGGGAAAATCTCCGGAGACTCGGCCCAAGGAGAGCTGCACTTCAGGAGGAGGCAGAAGGAGTCGGACGAAGAGAAGGACGAGGCGAGGACGAACCAACCCCAGGAGAAGAAACCGGATGACGGACGGAGTAAGAAGGAAAATAAGAAGAAAGGGCAGGAAGGCCCCAAGAAAGACCTCTGCCTCTCGAGCGACGACTCCTGCGTCCGCCTAAAGAAGGAGCTCGGCCTCCTGGATTCCGTCGGCCTAATCATGGGCAACATCATCGGCTCGGGCATATTCATGTCACCCCGAGGCGTGCTGGAATACTCGGGCAGCGTGGGCATGTCGCTCGTCATCTGGGTGGCGTCGGGCTTCGTGTCCATGGTGGGGGCGCTGTGCTACGCAGAGATGGGTGAGTGCCCTCCACTGGGGACCGGGGGGCGAGGGGGCGGCTGTGGGAGGGAAGCGGGAGGACCTGTGGAAGGGGCTGTGGGACGACCTGTGGAAGGACCTGAGGGAGGGGCTGTGGGAGGACATCAGGGAGGGGAAGTAGGAGGGCCTGAGGGCGTGGCTGGGCGACCCCTGACTGATGAGTGTATAGCTTAGTAATTGGCTATTACCTATCAATATACTTATTAACTGAATTTGTGAAAATATGCTTGAATTATATCGGATTAAGAGTCCACGGGATAACCAAATGAACAAGCATCTAATATAAACTAATATTCAAGTAAATAGCTGACTGACTAATGACTGAATCACTTATTACTTACTTAACTAAAAGATTACGTTACGTCTGCATTAAAAAAAAGATCGGTTCATCCAATAATTATCAGTTGGTAATAACTACGAGTGACCGAATATGTTATTAATGGTCATTTGTGTACTGTTGGGCATAATTAACGACAATAATAGTAGTGGTACTAAAAATATGCTGTTGCCAATGATGAGAATAGTAAAATAAAAACATGGGGTTTATTAGTGTTAATAACGGTAATGAAAATGGTAATGATGATGATGAATATAGCGTTTGTCATAATGAATGTGGTAGTGATAATGCTTACAATAATTCTGTTTATTCAATTTATTTTCGTTCTTAGCTCTTTTCTTACTTCACTTTTGTTATCTTTATCATCTTATTTTGTTTTACTATGTTTGTATTATTACCATTTCTACTTATCTATTATTATCATTATTATTGCAACATCCGTGCATACAGTCTTCGCAAATGATACTGCAGGTGAATTGCTGTTAATGAGAAGGATTTTAAATAGAATTACAACATTACTCTAATTATATAAATGTTAAAATCGTTGAGCTTATTATTTTCAGTATCATCATTGCTATCATTATTATTATCATTATTATTGTTGTTATTATTATTATTAATATTACTACTACTACTACTACTACTACTACTACTACTACTACTACTACTACTACTACTACTACTACTACTACTACTACTACTACTACTACTACTACTACTACTACTACTACTACTACTACTACTACTACTACTACTACTACTACTACTACTACTACTACTACTACTACTACTACTACTACTACTACTACTACTACTACTACTACTACTACTACTACTACTACTACTACTACTACTACTACTACTACTACTACTACTACTACTACTACTACTACTACTACTACTACTACTACTACTACTACTACTACTACTACTACTACTACTACTACTACTACTACTACTACTACTACTACTACTACTACTACTACTACTACTACTACTACTACTACTACTACTACTACTACTACTACTACTACTACTACTACTACTACTACTACTACTACTACTACTACTACTACTACTACTACTACTACTACTACTACTACTACTACTACTACTACTACTACTACTGCAAGTACTACTACTATTATTATTATTTATATTTTTTCTCAACACTACTCTCAAATATACACATGTTAAGATTGCATTGCCGCCTGCTGTTGCATCATTGCACACCGCCACTCGAGATGTCTGAATTGTCGTAAGAGTTATGTAAAAGGCAACGCTAGAAAATTTGTCTAGGAAAAAGCTTGGCTTCTAAATGACGGATTTAGGTTAAGATGGTTGTCTTAGAAATGCCAAAAAGAATTCTTAAAGGAGATGCATCGTAGAAGCTGTTCCTAGACTGCTGTCTCAAGAATAGCAAAAAATACGTAAATAGCAAATAAATCTATAAGTTTAATATAAGTTTAAAATAAGTTTGATACGTTCTCCTAAAGTGTTGTCTCAAGAATATATATAGCAAAGAATACATAGATAAGTTTAATACATGTTCCTAAAGTCTCAAGAATATGTATAACAAATAATATATAAATAAATTTAATGCGTTCTCCTTAACTGTTGTCTCAAGAATAAGCTTCCTAAATTGAGTTGTCTTAAGAGATCCCTACTTTTTTCTCACTAAAAATCAGAAATGTCAAAAAGTTATCTTGTCATTCGACGCGAAAAAAACACGGCCTAGAATTATTCTTACCGAGTTATACGCCTGCCTCGTAGACGTCTTCCCAACAGCGTTACCCACGTGATGTTGTACAAGTATCCCACATGAGTGATCTGTCGGGAGAAGTCCTCTCTCTGTCGGCGTCTGAGAGGATAAGCCGGTGGATGGGGGGGGTTTGCTTGCTTGTGGGCGTAAGGAGGTTGGGTTACTTAGGCTCTGAGGCTGTCGTGGGCGCTTGTGAAAGGGAGATTCGGGGAAAGGGAGCGAACGACGAAGAAAATAGTGGAAAAAGGGAAGAGAGAAGTAAAAAAAAAGGCAAGGGAAAGAGATCAAGAATGGGAGGCAGGACGGGAATGAGAGAAATATTAAGAGTAGGGAAGAGGGAGTAGAGGAAGAGAAAGAGAGAGAGGACGATATGAGAAAGAAAGAAGGAAGAATCACGTACAGACCGAGAGAAAAGGCAGACAACATTAACAAAAAACAAAAAAAAAACAATGAAACAAGAAAAGAAATAAACACAGCACAGAATACAAAGAGACACCAACGACAGTGACGCTGCAATAAAATGTACCATAATGAAAAATAAAATAATACACGTACAAAAAAAAAATCTTCAAAATCATTAAGAAAAGACCTTGATACCCCAAGGCTGCAACCCCAGCCGCCATTCCCGATTTCCTGCCTGCAATCTGCTCGTCATTAACACGTGCTTGGGTGACGGCCACACCAGCGTGAATAATTGCAGAGACTTTACTCGTTCTGTTGCATTCTGCTTTGTTAGATCAAGAGTGTCATTCGCGGGTGTTGTTGTCATTGCGGTTCTAAGGAAATCGGTGATAATCATGACAGCAGTGATAATGAAAATGAGATTAATAGTACTGATAATGATGGCGGCGAAATAATGATATTGATAATACTAATGATGAATATAATTATCATCAGTATTACTGTTATCATTATTATTACTATTATTATTATTATCATTATTAATATTATCATTAATATTATTATTATTATTATTACTATTATTATTATTATTATTATTATTATTATTATTATTATTATTGTCATCATTATCATTATTATCATTATTATTATATCATTACCAGCCTCTCATCATTATGATTAAATCATGACTGTTATTATCATTATTATTATCATGATCATTACTAGTATTATGATTATTATCATATCATTATCATCCTCATCATTATTGTTGTTATTATTACTATTACTTTTATTATTATTATAATTATAATAATAATAATTATTATTATTGTTGTTTTTATTATTATTATTATTATTATTATTATTATTATTATTATTATTATTATTATTATTATTATCATTATTATTATTATTATTATCATCATCATCATTATTATTATTATTATATTATTATTATTATTATTATTATTTTCATTATTATTATTATTATTATTATCATATTGGTATTATCATTACTATTACTACTATTATCATCATTATTTCTATCATATTCCCCATTCTTACGATTCCCATCATCATTTTGATCCTTTTCATTATTATTACTGTTATCATTATTAATGTTACCATCCTTATTATTATCATCACTATTATTACTATTATTATTATGAGGATCATTATAATTGTTATCATTACTATTATCATTACCATTACTGTTATTATCATTATTCATATTGTTATTATTATTTACATCATTGTGTCATTTTATCTTATACTTAGCAACAATAAAGACGATAATTATCAGTAATAATGATAATGATAATAATAATGGTACAGATAATAGTTATTATTAAAAAAACAGCAACAGCAACAATATTAA